CCATATTTACCCATTTTTGTGCTTCCACAGGCTTCTAACTGGCTCCGTAGGTTTCTTCTCTTCTACTGGGCTTCTTTCTAATCGACTTCTTTATGCTACTCAAACATCACTGCATTCATATCCCTGGATCATGCTCACAAATCCAATTTCCTCCAATCTCCTTGTTTGCCTTTTCTGCTTCGGTTAAACGATTAGTTCACTCAACCGACCCAGACAAAACATCTGCCTTTCGTGCACTTCGTCGATCACGCCTACTACTTCAAGTTGGCGCACTATTAGCGCTTGTCCTGCACAGCTCATAACGCCTACCTCATTTTCGCGAACTGTGCTGACTTTTTTCCTTTCTTGAATAGATTAATACTAAACTATGACGGTCTTCTTGTGCACAGCATTCTGAAAGGTTTTCTCGAGCTTTTTCAGGATTCCACCACCTTCAATCTCCTTCGTAACCGCCTAAAGGACTAGTTAACTGAAGATAAAGGCAGATTTCTTATAGTAAACTGGTTGCTCGCTGGAAATGGAAGCAGAGTTGCTAAAAGGTGCAGAAAAGTGAAGAAAAGCTATAGGTTACGGTTCAGAATTTGCAGAACAGGACCCTTGTTTTCCTCGTAGATTTCTTCCTAGATTTCTACTCTAGCAAGGACACATTGGTGCCAGAGTGATTTGCTCTGCATCTTTGCAGAGGTCGAGCTCGACCGCGAGAAAGTTTTTGCTGGGGTAGCCAATCGGTTGGGGCGGACGAGAAACGAATCAACCGCCGAGGGTAAGGCCATGTGAGCCGCTGCAAAATGTGCACGTTTCCATAGATGTCTGCATCCCTTTCTAGTAGATACGTAAGTTCCGCTTATCGATCCTCAATTTATCGTAAACCAGGTTTGCTCCGCCCGCTATCGCGCGCATCACAGGGTAGGGAGGAACCACGGAATAGCAGCATGACGTACTCCATTAACCACCTCACTATTGAATGTGTTATACCTCCTTATACCCCTTCTCTCCGGCGCATGGCAGCGCCCATGTTCCTCCCTTTCTCCTCTCCCCCTTCCCTCCCTCTCTCTCTCCCCCTCCCTTCCAGCCTCCCCTTTCTTGTCCCTTCCCTCTACCCCTCCCCCTCCACCCCTCTCCCCCCCCCCGCTCATCCGGCTGCCACGGCAGCACCATGTAGAATGAGACTGAGTGTGCTCGATCGGTGTTTATATAGCCGCTGTGGGTGTTATCATGATCATGACATCAACATCACGAAGTGTTGCCCTTCGTACTCCCTGGTTTTGTGAGCGGTTGGTCCGGACGGACAGAACGACACACACACACCGACAAACCGACACACCAAAGTTCTGGTTTATATAATGAAGTGATAACCCTACATATTTCACCACAGGCACTTGGAGGGTTTGGTCATCTTCAAGGTCTAGTTACCCACTAATGTATTCAGTGAGGATTCAAGACTGGTAGAAATGTGGGAAGTTTGTTCCTCCTGTCATCTTATCTTGGTTTCAGCTCCCTATTGAACGTGATATGCGGCAGTTTAGAGGTTTGATCGGAGCGGGTAAAGTAGAGCTTCAAAGAAGGCTCAGGTCTTCAAGACGACGAGAGGTTTGAAGCCTTGACAGTTCCATCATGGCAAACCAGGAAGGTTTACCAGAAGCGCGACGCATTTAGCACGCTCAAGCTTCGATAGTGATGGCTAATGTGATAACTGACTGATGGTACGGACCGATGGCAAGAAGCGTCGGATATTCACTACATCCTACAACACATTCAAAAACATTATAGATACTTGTTCGAGTCCAGCAACCAGGGTCAATCCTACGTTGTTACTAGTAACAACGGGGGGGGGGTCGTACCTGGTTGAGTTTATAGGGGGGGGGTCGTATCCGCTTCAGTCGCGTGAAAGTACATGTGAGTTTGTGGTGAAAGTGGAGTTTTCACGAGTAGTAGGCTAGGTGAGTTGGGAGCGCATGGGAGAAAAATTCGCCGTTTCAGCGCGCGTATATATACTTCTAGAAAATGAAGCAGTGGGGCTATAGGTAGAAAGTGGGGTAGATTGGTTGGGATTTGGGGATTCGCTAGTTTTTCATGCTTTCATGTATATACAGTGCGTACCAAAAGTATGTGGACACCCTAGAATCGATTCTCAGGGGTCAGCTAAAGGCTTTTTGTGTTATGAAACCTTCACCATTCAACTCCTAGTGGTCGATAACCTACAATGATATTTTCGGCAAAAGATTTCGTTCTAACTTAGCGAACTATTTTTCATGGAAAGTTTTTTCTTTGTATCAAAATTATGTGGACACTTTTTGAAAAACGGCAATATCTTCAAAATCTGAAATCGGTAGGCCTACCAAAGTTTCTAGTAAGTTGAGCCATTCTGTTTGGCATGCTATGAATGGGTCTGGATACATGTCTTGCAGATCTGTTCCCAACTAGCAAATTTCACCGACGTGTTAGGTCACTTGTGATATTACTTTTGTTCAATGACGTAGAGACCGCGAACCACGATACCTCTACGTTTTCAATAAGGATGAAGTCTGAGGAATACGCTAGCCGACTTGCCAATCAAAGCCGTTGCGTTTAGCATTTTTCCAAATGGAATGGTGTCAGGGACCTCCCCTGCAAAACAAGTGATTTGCAACCATGACTTTTCGAAAAAGGTTGTAGCCGGGACTCAAGCACCTCATTATAATCCTAGTCGTCTACCTGACATGTTGGCAAGCCAAACTTCAATGTCCCCTCCTTTTGGAACCACCCCAGACCTTTGATGAACATCTTCCGAATTGTCTCTTCGAGCACATCTGCGGGTCCGACCAAAGTCTCTCCAAAAACCTCAAGACCCACCCGAATAGTAAGGAATAAGCTTCTTTCTGCCAGTCGAGTTGGTCTATGAGAGAAATTTCCACAGAAAAGTCTTTTATACTAATTTTACCATTTCCACGAAAGCACTGTCTGTGTGGGTTCAAAGTATCATGTTGTGATCCTTTTTTGAGTGGGAATTCCAACCTTGCCAACCTGAACCCGCATTCATATACAAAGCCTTCTTCATCTTCTTTCGTGTCGTGTGCTCAATTGATTGAATGACACCGATTGGTCTTTTTTAAGATCGGGAAGATCATTTATGCGTAAAGTTGAGTAGTACGAAAAGAATAATTTGAGAAAATTAAGGCTATTCTTCTCCTGTTTTGAACAAGTAGCGATTGAGAACAACCCTCAGTCAAGGTCGAGAGCTTAGCATCAGGATTTCGGATTTCTCTCCAAACCTACGAGGACGCATGACTGGTTGACGTGCTATTTCGCAATAGGAAGGTTCAGAAGCATGGGGATCCCATTTCTGTGCTCGGTCTTCTTCAGAAAAACGCTTGCCGTGAAGAGGAATGATGCCAGAATAAGTAACGAAAGGAGAAGTAAAAATAGGTTAGGAAATCGATGCAAAAACTTCATCTGCCTCAGGGTGTCCACATAATTTTGATACAAAGAAAAAACTTTCCATGAAAAATAGTTCGCTAAGTTAGAACGAAATCTTTTGCCGAAAATGTCATTGTAGGTTATCGACCACTAGGAGTTGAATGGTGAAGGTTTCATAACACAAAAGCCTTTAGCTGACCCCTGAGAATCGATTCTAGGGTGTCCACATACTTTTGGTACGCACTGTATAACGACGAGTTTGGGGTTGAGTGGTACCAGAATTAAATACTATAGAGAGGAATATGGTGGTCGAGGTGTCGAAAAGGGGGTCGTACCAAGTCCACCTTGGGGGAGGGGGTCGTAAAAATTTTTGAAAAAGTAACAACGATAGGACTGACCCTGCCCCGCAACCCCTAGCTACTCTTAGGCATTCGTTCTTTGTTGAGTCTAATGTATCGTTTACTTTTCGCTTTTCTTCTTTTTCCATCTAGCTATATTACTTGAGGTTTTGTCTAGGAATTACCGTGTTTAGTTGCAATTGTATTTTTTTTTTTTCTAAGTTAGCACCAATCAGTCTGTAATACACCAAACAAATAAATATATCATATATATAGTGAGTGGTCTCGCATTATTTCGTACAACAAGTGGTCCCTCAAAAGCCTCCTAAATCCTGAATAGGAAAAACCCCATCCCCTGAACCAATTAAGGTCACTTCGTCATACATTCTTTCTATAAAAATACCTTCGCCTATTTGTCAGTGGGCCGCTCCCAGCATAGGAACCACTCTACTCATTTGAGGCCACCCTGAAGCGATTTTATGTTTCTGCTGACACCTGTGAAGCGCTCGGCAATTCGGCTTCTCTATGAGGGAAACTGGGTGAAAAGTCAGTGAAACAGATATTTCTTCGTTTTCCGCTTAAGATATATTGTGAGGTTTTTTTCAGCGCTTCCTCGCTGTTGATCTATCCCTTTCTTTAGAAGTCTGCAGAAACTGAAAGCTCTATCTGTAGCAGTCGATCATGCGCCCCACTCGAAGCTTTTCAGGCTGCTTGTTCAGACTACTCCTGAACACCTCGATAATGAGAACGTCGAATTCACTGAAGATTTCCCTCATGGTGGAGCATCCGCTGATGCCCTTTCTGGATCTCATCTGAGTATTATCGTGGCGTAATAAATGTGAGAACAAAAGCTTTGTTGAATTCGGTATTGACACTCCTTACCAATATGCCATTGTCTTCATAGATTACAGAGAGTATTTATAGAATTCAGTGCAAGCTTTCAATGCAGGCAACTTTCGTAGGCAATTGAATGCAACCCACCAATATATTTAATGCAAACATATATATTATATTTATACATTTATTATTTATATTTTCAACGCAGTTGCATTTGTGGGCATCTTATTGTGGACACACGCCCTTCCCGCCCATCCCTTCCCACAACGTGTGCCTACTTCCGCTCGCTCGTTCCTCAGTTATTGCTCCCTCCCCCCCCTCCCCGATTGTCTTCAATCTTTCTCCCTCATTACACTAACTATACCTCTCATTTCGCCGTTGCACGTTATGGTAAGGTAGTGTTCATACCTCATTTGTAATTCCGCTGATATGGTTAGGTGCACATCGACTGGCTTATTCGCCTCTCGAGCGATGTCAGCTACTCTGCGATACAATATCCATCTGATCGTATCCTTTTTACGTAATCACCTGATCGCTAAATGGCCAAATCGTGAGCTTGAGCGCTGAATTAGACCCTTTCACAGCAGGAATAAAGTGGGCCCTGTGGGGTTTTCCACAAATTTTCCCTTTTCTTCTACTGTCGGTCTACCTCGCAGCTCTATTTTCATTTTTGAGCGCAAAAGTTCTACAGAATTGGTTATGTATGTCTCCAAGACTAATTGGAGAATTTCACCAGTTCAACCTCCTGTAACAATTACTAAGTTGAATTTTGCGAAAGCATTACTAACTCAAATTTCATTTCCACTGTTCGCATTATTCTCTCTAGGCACGGAAAACCTCTTGAAAGTCTACATCGGTTCGGAATGTCTGCTTGTTTGGTCACACATAAGTTTTTAGTTTCACAACGTTCCCACTACACTGTTCACCAATGTGTCTTTTTCTTGTTTTTTGCCTATAAAAAAAGTAAACCACGGGTGAAAATGGAGTTGGGAGGGGAAAACAACCTCAAGGTCTCTCTAAGTCTCAAACGCTAAGGATTAAGAGGAGCGGCCGTGCTGGCTTAGAGGTGAATAAGAGTTCTACACGATATTGAGGGAAAGCTTAGAATAAGAGCTTAGGTATTATAAACGTGATGGAGCGAGCGTAACCCTATGGAAGATGTTATGAAGCAAGATAAGAAGATACGGTTGCTTTGTACGAGGTGTACTCCAGAACTGGAATCGAAAGGCAATGTTATCGTTTATTACGCTGCTGTTACCATCTTTCCACCCAGAGATGGTGGCGGTTATGAACTCTGTAAGTTGAGCTCATTCCCAGCATCTCATCACAGCGTTGATAAGACGCCACTACTCTGGAGGCGCCATATATTGTCTCATTGGGTAGTTTCTTACCCAATCTACTAACCACAACCCATCCTTGCCATTCCCCAATGGGATTTATTTCGATCGCGTCTTTCAGAATGAGAGCCTTGAGCGCTAAAGATAGGAGTTTTGACAAAACATTCATCTAACACATTCACGATGGCTGAAGCCTAATATGGGCTGCTAGTTGCGCATGCTCGTAGGGCGACCGTAGCCCATAATGACTGCCAGCAAATCACTGCTCTGCCTTGTACTAATATCACCAATTGTTGGTATCCAAATCCGTAGAAATAATTAGAGCACAATTCACAGCTGTACAACGACGTGGTTCACTGTGAGAATAGATAAACTGTTAATTAGAAAAGTTTTTTGGGGGTCGTGACAGATATTTGAGAAGGTTGATTCTACTTTATCTTCGTAATTGTAGCATGCGAATGAAAAGAACACCAAAAGCAAATACAAATGCTCTGCGTTTGAGTTCTCGTTCCTTCCTAAACTTATTTACTTATGCGTCTCGACCGCTATTCGTCCCGGGCACGCCAGAAACGCAGGTCGCACATCTTCCAGCCGCTCTGCTTCGGGCTCTTCTGCGCCACAGCTGGCCGTACAATTTCACGAGAGGGTCTGCCCATCGGGTGGGGGTCTGCCTCTGGGCCTTGTTTTTCCCCTTGGGTACCAGTCAGTCACTCTCTTCGTCCAGCGATCATCGGTAAGTCTAGCCACATGACCGGCCCACCTCCGCTTGGAATTATAGATGGCATCGACGACGTCCTTCACCATCGTACGAGCGCGGATGGTGTCATTGGGTATGCGGTCTCGGAGCGTTACACCCGCACATGGCCCTCTCCATGGCTCGCTGAGTGACTGCGAGTTTCTCCTCTTCAGAGACTGTGGTGCTCCACGTCTCCGCCCCGTAGTCATCGCGGGAAGAACATGCGAGTTGAAGACGTGAGCTTTGACTTGGGGTCTACGTGTATAGAAGTTAGTACATTTTGGAGCTTGTTGAAAGCGGCCCGACCCGCTCTGCGGCCTCTTCTGAAACAATCAAGGAGGAAGTGCTTCTGATGTCCGCTGCAACTAGTGTTAATATGTTTTGCGATACCATTACTATTACATGTCTTTTCAATCGAACTTCCACTACAATACCCCTCTACCACTTTTAATTATTGACCATCGCTGTAATTACTTTGTGATGCTCATGTTTTTGTTCATTTCGTACTCGAAATCCACATGTGTGGCGTGAGGGCGGGGCTCCCGAAATCTCGCTTTCCCCCGCGATAAAAAGCGACTTCGGTAATATGATGTGTAAGTAACTTTCTCATGAGGTTCGGGTAATGGGGCGGAAGATCGTGGGCAGAAGGCCAGATTTTTTTTTCGCCTACGCCTAAGTGAGAGGAGCTCTAAAGGGGGTGGACCATGAACCATGGCCGAAGGACTGGATAGAATGCGTAGAATTAGCTTTTGATCAGCCTTATCAAAAAGTTATTCCAAGTGAACGTCATCAAATTTCTTACCCTTGGCGCAAGAGACGTACTAGAGACCCTAAGCAAAACCCGTAGCTCCGTAGCTTTCACCTAAGCTATGCTTTCATTGCCGCGCAAGATAGCTGTATCGCTTCGTCGTGTAGTGTGCCTTTAAGCGCATATTAAAGTTGTAGGACAACCCTAGGGTAAGCTCGTCCAATGTGAAACATGCTCTATTAATTGTACACCGTCGTCACATAGCGCACTGTCCAGATTCCAATCTATCTCCTCCAATTATGGTACTTATATTTTTCTTAATGTGCCCAGACTTCTAGTTTCGAGCAGAATAACTACATCTTACCACCGTGAAAAATGTCTTCAAATTCACTCTTTCAATCCAAAAATACGGCTTTGTGACGACTAATGCTGAATTTAAATTCAGAGAGAAAGCCGATTTCACACGTTTATTCTCACTTTTACTGCCAATATCGATAGCAGGTCATACTCCTATTTGTTTCAGACGAACAATGTTCCGTATTGCTCTACTCCTTCTGCTAGTAATCTGCGCTGTCTACGTGAATGGAAGCGAATTTGGATGGGGATGTAAGTACTTGTGATGTTTTTTGATATCATGAATAATTCAAGTCC